TAGGGGTGAGTAAGGGGAATCTGTTAGGTTGTCTCTGAGCAGAGGGGATCCAGGCAGTGACTGTTGGGGAAGGGAGACACGGCGACGGCTGTTGGGGAGGCGAGACCCGAGCGGCGGCTGACGTAGGGTGGTGGAGCTCAGGGATCTCTGCAGGCGGTCAGAGGTGGAGGAGGAACCACAGATGGAGGGGAAGGATGAGGTGTTTTGTCGGTAGGGTTTTGATTCTGGCGGTGGAGCTTGGTCTATGGGAGAGATGAACGAGAGAGAGGGAGATCTCGTCGGCTAGGGCTTGGAGATTGAGTTGTTTTACATGGAGGAGAATAGAGAAGATCTAACGGCTGAAGAAAGAGAGAGAAGAAACAGTATAGGCTTAGGGTTTCACACCCATGGTTTCACACCAAATAAGCTAACACAATTTCATTTTAATTTTCCATTTTTTCATTTCAATTATTCACTTTGATTACAAGAGCGTTTAAATAGAAGAGAAAAATATAGAATTAGAAGATTTCCTAAATCCCACAAATCTCTCATAATCACTTATATCTCTCATAATCAATCACTACTAAATCTAAACCTAATTTGAAATTCAGATCTAAACTAAAATTCAAAATTCAAAATTCAAAATTCAAAATTCAAAATTCAAAATTCGAAATTCGAAATTCGAAATTGACTACTAAAAAACTGAAATAATTAAAATTCAAATACAAATATAGAAATGTCATTCTTATCCTCATCAATATGTTATATAGCACCAGTGCTGATCTAGATATTTTCTCTTTGACATAAATTATCACCAACTGCGATTTTTTTATTATGGAGATTACTTTTTGAGCTTTGCTACAGAGACCCAAAATATGGGACCAATAGAGGGGACAAGTGAGGTGTCTCCCTCCTATTGGATAATGAGTTGGCCATCATTAATGATGACCAACTCATTATCCAATAGGAGGGAGACACCTCACTTGTCCCCTCTATTGGTCCCATATTTTGGGTCCTTGAGGAATTTTTCTTACTTTTTTATTGCTATGGTCCTAACTGCCTACAAATTTTTAATAATATTTTATCTGATGTTCAATCTTCCTCATTTTTCTGTTCTCCTTCTTTGCATATCTTGAAATCAGTACCAAGTTCCATGCACAATACAGGCCTCAAACTTATACTCTAGAAGCATGTTGACTTATAATTTTGGGTGCTAATTCTGCGTCACTTTCTTTCCAGGGAGATGACATTCCGGAAGAGCAACTTCCGCATCCATTCAGCCAAACAAAGCAAACCAACATTTCAAATGAATTAAGACACTACTCAACCATCCCTCCAATTATTTCCTCATCAGCCAATGCTCATTCTCAACATGAACTCGCAGTACCTTCTCATATTTCTAGATCTTTCCAAAGGAGATTTTCTCAAAAAGTACCCATCTCAGATGCACAAAAAACTTCTCTCACATGCCATGACAGTTCACCTCCTATAGACACTTCTCTCGATCGACTCTATCGCTCCATCTCCTATGAAACACGTTTCAAGACTGCCCTTAAGAAGGAAATCATTGCTTGGTTGCCCAATTATCTCTTCATCATCCAAGGCTCTTACAACTCGTGAAGAAGAAGAACCCAAAATAGACATAATGCCTGAAAGCATTTCTCAGAAAGAAGTAAATGCTTTAGAGGGAACACCAGCCAAACTAATTTGCACTCCATCAAAGCTAATGACTGCCACTCCAGATATTCAAACTCCAAAGAGACAACGTACAACCTCCAATGGATTGTGATACCACACCACTGAAGAGGTCAACTAGGCGATCGACTCAAACCAAATTATTATTTAACACACCAAAAAAGAGTGCGACAAAATTGGATGAAGGATGCTGAAACTATTGCAAGAATCGGTATAACTCTTTCATCAGTGGTTGATGACGTTCTCCGTTTTCTACCTCAGTCTCTCTTGTAATCGGTATAACTCTTTCAATAATCTTATGTTATATCATTAACATTTATTTAGATGCGCCGTTGGTTATTTGGGTCATGTCATTGTCTCTGATAATTATTTATAGGTAAGGGAAAAGGAGAGAAAAGCATTTGTGGAGAAGGATATGCTGGTGTTGCTGAAGCAAGGAAACGGCAAAAGCTAATTGCAGGCTTGCCTACTACTATTGACATGATACTTCTAATATTTCAGTCAATAAATCGATCTGTTATGACAAAGGAAGAACTTACTCACAAGCTAATTGCAAATAATTGTAAAATTGTTGACAAAGGTAAAGAGAAATTGTTAGTTGTGTATCAGTTTGCTTATCCGTTGCAAAGTCAAGTTAATATATGCAGCGGCTAACCCTCAGATTTTTGATCATATAGGTGAAGTGGACGAACAACTGAAATGTTGCGCGCAGCGAAAATTTCGGCAGCACTTCGGCAGCACAACAAGAGAGTCAGGTCGCAATAAGAATTCTTGTTTCTCAAAGGGAACAAGAATCTGAAGCCTAATATCTCATTAAAGTGAGATATTAGCTCTTCCTCTCGTCAGCTCTAGGATTGCGCGTCGAGGGAACCTAAAAGCTATTACAAATCACACAAATAGCAGTACAATCAATTTTTACGTGGTTCGGCAAATTGCCTACGTCCACGGGGCAAGGAGGGGGGAGATCTACTATTAGAGGGAGAGATTACAACTAGGGTTTACAATCACTCACAACCTAAACCCTTAAACAAACTCTCAAATCCCTCACACAATTATCTCTCACAAAAGGATGCACAAAGATAAAAAAAGCCGCTCAAAATCACCTCTTCTCTTCTATGCTTTCGCACGCTGTCAGAAGAAAACTCAGCCGACCTTTTAATTTCAAGCCCTCTGCCTTAACTTAGTTTCACGAAACCCTAGGGATATTTATACTGTTGCGGTTCAATTATCTCGGGTGGGCCTGTTCACACGGAAAGCAGCAAAAAAGTTTTGGCCCTTGTGGCCCCCACAACCTACTGATTTCTTCATGCGCACGCGGTTTGTTTGCACCCCGCGTTCATCCACAAGTGGCCCCAGGAAGCCAGCATTCACAATTCTCCACCTCGGTGAAGTTTTCCCAAAACTGAGCTAACACCAAATCATCCAAATGTCCCACTTGGAGAACCTGAACGAGAGTCCAAACAATCTCACCCCCATCAAAATCAACTAATCCAAACCGGCTACATCTGAAAGAATGCCTACGTATCCTCTTGCCCAAGGAATCAAGCCGAACGTAGTTCATCAAATGGCCGCCAACGGCCTCAACAATCACGAATATGCAACAAGTTTCGACAATGATCAAACTTGTTGCTCGGAGCCACCTTAGTGAGCATATCTGCCGGATTATCCTTCATGTGGACTTTCACAATTTCCACATCGCCATCTTCAAGAACATCCCGAACGAAGTGATAACGAACGTCAATGTGCTTCGTCTGCGCATGAAAAACCTGATTCTTCGCCAAATAGATAGCACTCATGCTATCACTGTAGGCTGTCTAAAAATCACAATAGATAGCTTATTCAAACAAGCTCCGACAACGGAGGTCACAATCAGACGACTTCCCAATCACTGCATCCACAACTCCACAATTGCCACAAACGCGACCTCACTTCTGAGATGATTGATCTTGATGGCTGTGACAACAGCATGGCTAATATCATAGCAACTATTAGAGATGCTGATGAGCAGTGGGACGATTTCAGAAATAAAAAGTTGGACTCAGTTGGTGAGTTGCTTGATAGAGAGCTATGGGCGAATATTCATCTTTAAGACACTATGGATGTTGATTCCCGTCTAGCTCCTACAACGAAAGCTACAATCAAATAGCTTTCGGGTCGATGATCGAAACATATAGTCGAATAGTTGCTTGGTAGAGAGCTATGGGCGAATATTCATCTTTAAGACACTATGGATGTTGATTCCCGTCTAGCTCCTACAACGAAAGCTACAATCAAATAGTTTTCGGGTCGGTGAACGAAAGTTGCGAATGGAGGGCTGTTCACATAGATCGAGAAGAGTTACAATTTAACGACACTTCTGACGATTGATGAAAAAACTCTATTCAGCAGTCTTCACAATCTACAGTGAAAGTTACAATCTGACGACTTTCACACCCCACAACAGCTAAAGCCAGGATTACTGAACAACGGTCCTTGCAACGCTCTACAGAAGAAGTTACAAGTCAAATGGCTCCTTCTGAAACGCGGATGTCATCCCCGCGTCACCAAGTTGGAAATGAAGGCGACCCTCGCGTCGTCAATACACAAGCCAAACGTGAGCGACCCTCGCGTTCAATGGTGTTCAACCAACAGCGACCCTCGCGTTCAATGGTGTTCAACCAACAGCGACCCTCGCATTCAAAGGTGTTCAACCAACAGCGACCCTCGCGTTCAATGGTGTTCAACCAACAGCGACCCTCGCGTCGACAATGCACAAGCCAAACGCGAGCGACCCTCGCGTTCAATGGTGTTCAGCTAACACCCAACTTCGCGTCTCAATCCTAAGAAGCGAAGTTGGGTTCTGAACGCCAGATTGGGCGTTTGACTCACTCAAACATAAGTCGAACGGTTCCAAAACCGTTTATCCCACGTTCTGAGGGATTTTCGCCCACGTAGGAGCGGATATAGGAGTCAGTTACAATCTCCTATCCCCCTATAAAAACTCAACAAACCCAACGGAGTAAAGGGTTGGATCATCAGAATCTAAACCAGACGAGTTGGTTAAAAAGCCAGGATTACTGAACAACGGTCCTTGCAACGCTCTACAGAAGAAGTTACAAGTCAAATGGCTCCTTCTGAAACGCGGATGTCATCCCCGCGTCACCAAGTTGGAAATGAAGGCGACCCTCGCGTCGTCAATGCACAAGCCAAACGTGAGCGACCCTCGCGTTCAATGGTGTTCAGCTAACACCCAACTTCGCGTCTCAATTCAAAGAACACGAAGTTGAGTTCTAAACGCCAGAATGGGCGTTTGACTTATTCAAACATAAGTCGAACGGTTCCAAAACCGTTTATCCCACGTTCTGAGGGATTTTCGCCCACGTAGGAGCGGATATAGGGGTCAGTTACAACCTCTTATCCCCCTATAAAAGCTCAACGAACCCAACAGAGCAACGGGTTGGATTTTTGGCATCTGAACCACACAGGTTGGATTCAAAAGATCTAAACCATACAGGTTGGAGATTTTCAGTTCTAAAACAAACTCGACAGAGTTAAAGGATCGGATTTTTGATAATCAGATCAAGGGTTGGATTCTTTATCATCAAAACCACTCAGGTTTGGAGATTCGGCAACAACAGCAACGAAATCCTTGGAGATAGGATTTTTGAACCAACCTCAGAAAATCAAATCTGAGAGAATCCTTCAACAACAGAAAAACAGCTTGATTATTAACCGAATTTTCGGTTCCAACAACTCTATTCACAGAGTTCAAACTCGTTCAGAGTTCTTAAACTCATTCAGAGTTATTCATAAAACTTTCCACGAAAGTTCATCGTTCCCACGAGATAAAGACGGTCGGATCGTCAACGGAGAGCAAGTTCGACGCAATCAATCGAAGGAAGCACTCCATCGCTGCCAAGAAGAACCCAGTTTTAAACAAAGGGGAAAATCAAATTCGTTTTCCTCTCTTTTGTAATCAAGTTGTAACCGAGATCAAAGGAATCAAAGTCACATTTTCTTTATTCTCTTCTTTACAATTTTTCCAACAAACAAAAGATGGCGACTCCGCTGGGGACTAGCTTTTCCGACGATGAAGTGGTGGCTCAGTCCGACGTCCACCTCTTGGGAACGACTGTAGAAACTCTCGTCGTAGAGTTTGATCAGGCGAAATACGAGGAAGCCCTATCCTCTGGATCGCTTAGCCCCAAGGCTAAGCATGGTGTCCGCAAGATCTCCAAGGAGATCAATTCTGTTGTTGAAGAGCCGAAGAAAGCCCTCTCCTTCGGCCAGGAACTCAAATTGGCTCTGCTGGCTGAAAAGCCCACGTCCGCGTCAGCACAGCGTGCTTCGGGCCACAAACGGCCTCTGGAAGAGACGAGTTCCATAAACGTCAACGACGTTGCTGCTAAGGCTTTGAAACAAGCCAAAAAGAACGCCGCTCGCCGACGGAGAAGATCCATCCGACGAGCACACTTACGAGAAAGCCGATTGTTGGCCCAACGCGAAGATCGCGTTTCTAAAGATCCAACCGAACTTGGCGTCCCCAAAGAAGAACGCTCACTGCGTGGTAATGAGCCCAACTATCAGCCTAGGCTGATACAGCTCAAACGCGACCCTGAGTGGCGCGTTGTTCACTCAAAACGCAGCCCTCAGAATGGAGCTGCCAAAACCAAACGCGACCCTCATAGGCGCGTTCCAATTGAACATGACTCTCAGGAGTCTGTTTCACAAATTAAACGCGACCCTCAGGTGCGCGTTCAAACGAAGCATGACTCTCAGGAGTCTGTTTCACCAACCAAACGCGACCCTCAGGGGCGCGTTCAACCAAAACTTGACCCTCAGAGGTCAGGTTCATCATTTAAACGCAGGCCTCGGCCTAGTGTTTTCAAACGCGACCCTCGCGTTACTTCTCAAGAACGCGATCTTCAAGAGGTCCGTCAGGTTCAAAAAAGTCAGCGTGGCTTTAAAATTCACGTTCGACAAGAACCAATCTCACCTACCCAAGGGCAGGGGGTTCCAACTCCACCTCCAAGTCCGGGGAAAGTTTCCTCCCAAGTTCCTGATCTTCGGGAATTGTTGTCGAGAGGAAAATCAGCAGCACAAACAGCTCACCCATGTCAATGTGAGAGGCTTATCTCGGCAGTCTTGTCAGAATGCCCTTGTTGTGCAACAACACCTCGGCAGTCTGTATTCGACAGGTTGACGAATGTCGTTAGACCTGCCAAACGACAACGCCGCAACAAAAAGAAGACAGTTGAAGCGGAATACCCTCAGGTCACTATCAACATGAT